CCACAGAGCCCTATGCACTTCTGCAAAACCATCTGCACATCTTGGCAAAATGAGTTTCCCAAGGCATTCGGTGACACGCATGGCACACTTCTCTCAGAATCATTCTCCCAAACTTCGGTACTTTACACAGCATGTGTGTGTATGCTGGGTTAAACAAAACACACACACAAATCCTCAAGTGTGCACGCATGTCCCTGTGAGGGGTCGCCGTGTGGCAAGCTCTATCCCACGTCAGAATGCTCTCGTCCCGACTCGTCACACATTGTGCAGCGCATCTTCAAGCCGCATCAGTCCGCTTTTGCGGAACTCTTGGCGGCCGCCTTCTTTGCTGCAGCCTTTTTTTGGATTTCAATCCAGACTGCAGGCCGTTTGCTGCTGCCTGCGTGTAAGCAACGAATCCAAGCACATGCCCAATGTATCTACATGCTAGTTTGCATCCAACATCATATCATTGTGCCTGGGCTTGCTTGAACCATGGCTTCTTCTGATCCACCCCCTTGATAACTTTCCTCAAGGCTTTTGTGTTTCCGTCTTTGTCCAGCTGACACATCTTCTTGTAGGCAGACTCCATCTGCTTCGAAAATTTGAGCAGCTGCTCCGATAGCTGGCCGCCGTAGTTCAGCTTGGTCAGGGTGATGGAGGTTTTGCGAGCCTCCGTGGAATCCTTCAGGATCTCGGTTTCCTTTTCCGCCACCTGCCTTGGAACAATTGACTATCAACCACGGATACCACATGCAGCCTTTATAAAGATTGAATTCTTCAATGCAATCAAGAAGCTCTTTCAGGGTCTTGGGCTTCATCTCCTCGGGTTCTTCCTTATTGTCCTTCCTCGGTTTTGGGATGCGCTTCTGCATCCCTCCCGCCTCGTCGAAGAGGCCCAGGAGGGCCTTTCACCAGCCTCGGAGGCTGCATGCACAGCAGGCATACTGCCTGCCTGAAGCACATTGCCCTCTTCGAGAACCTTTGCCAAATCTTCATCCATCGCTTGATCCACCCGGAGGGTCTGAGACTCGCTTGTGCTGTTGTCAAGCCGCAGCAGGTGGCCCTTCGGCATATAACACCAAGCTTCCTCAGAAAGCCAATTCACATGCAGCAAAAACCCTTCAGCCCATATGCCACACTGACCGCAACCTAGACACATCCTCTTTGTCCGGAAAGTCTTTGTCTTTGTACCAGCGTCCTTCGGCTTTTCTTGCGGCAATTACTTGCTTGTACATGGCCTGGCAAACACACACGATATGTAAAGAAGCATGCACACAGACCGACGGTGCCTCGTCGGCGTACTTAGACTTCAAGTCTTTCCCCTGGATGGCAACAACATCCTGCCGGTTGAGATTCTTCCTTTCATGTTTTCGTTCCATGATAAGCTTCACCCTGGGCGGCAACGTGCCGTGCATCACAAATCACGTCTGGAGTCGGACAACAGCAAGAAGGCAAAAGGTGCAAATGCACAAACGCGCCATAGCTTCAGCCAAGTAGCTCATCCCAATTGCCGTTGCAATCGAGCCAGGCACCAAACAAATCCGTCTTAGATTTGCTTGCGTAGGAACTAAGGCTGACGGGGAACTTCTGGCGATTCTTGATCGCCCGATCAAACACGGCCCATTCCTTTTTGTGCGTCGTACCTTAGAAGCACAAAAGACACACTAGACTGTCACTATACACATAACCCCCTATAGTTTCAAGTTGCACAAGACATCAAACGATATTTCATCTGGGGAGCTGTTCCGCACTGCTTCCTCCTCCTTCTGCGTGGCCTCCACCAAGGAAGTTGGGTCGGGGGTCGGTTCGTCATCATCTCCAGACAAGGGCTCCCCGTCGGTATTCTCGGACTCTTCCTCAGATGAGGAACCGCTTGGCATGTCTTCTTCATTCAGGTGGCACTCTTGCGACGGCAGGATTTCCTCCTCGGCTTCGGCTTCACATTCAGCGGCATTCGGAGATGCCTCCGGCTCCCCTGCTCCCTCCGATTCCTCCTGTCCATCATCATCATCATCATCCTGGTCACCGAAATCCGCGGAACCTTCTGAAGCCATTGGGGAGCATGCAGCAAGTTCCTCGGCTGCTATCTGTGCCTCGATGAGCGCCACTTGATCAAAATCATTCTCGGATTCTCCGTCCTAGACACAGAAAGAATGCTTCAAACTCATCATGCACCATAACAAATGCGCCACGCTCTGCGGAAAGGAAACTGCACCCACCTCCTCGGACACGCGGGTTTTCTTGTCTTTGGCTTCCTTCTTGTCTTTGGCTTCCTTCTTGTCTTTGGCTTCCTTCTTGTCTTTGGCTTCCTTCTTGTCTTTGGCTTCTTTCTTGTCTTTGGCTTCCTTCTTGTCTTTGGTTTCTTTCTTGTCTTTGCTTTCCTTCTGGTCTTTGCTTTCCTTCTGGTCTTTGCTTTCCTTCTGGTCTTTGCTTTCCTTCTGGTCTTTGCTTTCCTTCTGGTCTTTGCTTTCCTTCTGGTCTTTGCTTTCCTTTTGGTCTTTGCTTTCCTGCTGGTCTTTCTTTCCCTTGTGGTCTTTGCTTTCCTTCTTCTGTTGCTGTGCTCTCTGGCCTGGGCCCGGTTCAGGTCCCTTCGCCTTCGCTGGCGCGGGGTCTTGCTTGTCCTTCTTGTCTTTTGCATCTCTGCTCTCTCTGCCCTCCTTCTTCTCTTTGATTTCCTTCTCCTGCTGCGTCGTGCCTGCCTTCTTTTCCCTGCTCTCCTTCTTCTCTTTGTCTTTCTTATCCTCTTTTCTTGGCTTCTGGTCTTGGGCTTCTATCTCTCCCTTGCTTTCCTTCTTCGGCTTCTTCTTATTCTCCTGGTCTTTCGGTGGCACAGAAGACGCCGCCGCTGCTGCCTTCAGCAACTTTTCCTGCCGAGCCACTTCTCGATCGGATGGCTCGGCTTGCCTCTTTGCCTTCTCTGAGCTTTTGTGGCTCCCAGAACCAGTAGAAACCCGAGGCTTTTTTTCTTTCTCGCTTGCTGCATCTCTTGATTGCTGGCGCTTCGTAGGAACACGGTGGGTGACGTCTTTTCCCATGGCTGCAGCACTGCAGCACACTTGAAAAAAAGTTCCAAGCCAAATGCTTAAAGACATGAGTGTTGCTTCAACATGCACGGAACGAAGGCCCTCTCCCACAATCTCACTGCATCTCACTCGCACCTTTGCAAACGATGGACAGACAGACAGGCAGACCGAAACAGACAGCAGCGCTGGGCGGGACGGCTGGGCGGGACGGCTGGGCGGGACGGCTGGGCTGGGCATGGGCTGTGATGGTACATATAGAGACAGAGAGACAGACATGCATGCGTATACGTGATATAGAAACAGCACGCACATGGCATATGTATATAATGCATGGATAATATGCACAGACCGTGATACTCTACTTTTATACATGCTATAGCTTCCATGTGTGCATATTACACATGTTATTAGGCTTGCTTCCAGTGCATGCAGGCAAATCAGGCAGCCCCAATTGAATTATACCTACTGTATTTTGCTTTAGTTTTCTAGTATCAGTACATCTACAATTATGTATTATCACAACTGTATTTTTGTTACATATATCTGTATGTGTATATAGATATAGACTCATACACTTCCTATACTACATATAAGTATAATACAGCAATATATATATATATATATATATATATATATACATTATATACATATAATATTCAATAATAATTAACTATGTATATATGCTTATAACTGCTACAAATCACGGCAGCACGATTCACGGCATCGGCTGCTACAAATCACGGCAGCGGTTGCTCTACAAATCACGGCAGCGGTTGCTACAAATCACGGCTCTACAAATCACGGCAGCGGTTGCTAGAAATCACGGCAGCGGTTGCTACAAATCACGGCAGCGGTTGCTACAAATCACGGCAGCAGTTGCTACAAATCACGGCAGCGGTTGCTACAATCGCGGCTGGTTGATAAAATTTTGTCAGCGGCTGCTACAAATCACGGCAGCGGCTGCTACAAATCACGCTCCTAGGAGCTATAATGTTGGCCGAAATCGCGGTTCATGGTTCGAGTTGTGGCCGTTCGGGGTTGCTTCGGTGTGGTTTCAGGGTGGCAAATACAAATCACGGCATTCCACGCCAAATCACGCTAGCGGTCACGACAAATCACGGCATTGACTTTGCCGGTGTTGCAAGCATTTTTGTTGGCTGTGTTTCGTTTCCGTTTCGTTTTTTTCCGTTCCCATCCCTCTGTGTAGCTCTCCTGTTCCGTCTCTGTCGATCTGCGCTCTCCCGTGTCCTTTCTCCTGGGTCCCCTGCCCGTTTCCTCTCTCCTCTCTCTTCTCTCCTCCCCCCCCTTTGCCTCTCATGCTGTCCCCTCCCAGCATTCCCTTTACTCTCATGTATAACCATTCCATGCATGCGCAGAAGAGCATACTGAGACTGTCTGTGTGACATACATGGCACCCAATGCACCCAGCACGCTGCCTTGATCTGCAGCTTTGCATTCAGCCAATCGCAGACGGCCTTGATTCAATGTAAACCGCGGCATAGTCCTGCGTAGCAAGGCACCATGTTCTATTATCTATACGATACCCACAGCTATATACAGGCACATCACCAGGCATGCATGCAGAAACCTTTCAGTGCAACATTTTCCGGTTGGCGCACCCCGACCATACTGCTTGCATGGAACTGCACACAGAGCTCGCGCTGCATGCTGCGTAGCAATTAAGGATGTACAAGTATTGCAGTTACTGCTGTTGTCGCAGGAATGCAAAAACTTTGTCGAAATGGGCACCATGTGCCCATCTCCTGGAAACTTTAGAATCCACAGGCACCTTCAAAGGCCGCTTCATAGCATCACGCAGATCTGCCCAAGCCTGCTCCTTGACGTGTTTGTCGTGCTGGGTCCGCAAGGATGCCAGTGCAATGCCGAACCTTATTGGGAAACATCATTGCAAGGGTTCGGGCGGCGACCCTTCGTGTATGTCATGTCGAAACAGCGTACCTCAGAGCCCCACTGCCTTGGGTACGCTTGCGAGGCCTTCAGGTGCTTACCGCCGTTGACTCGTTTGTTGCCAAACTCGTCCGTGTAGCGCACCGACATCTCCCATCCCCTCTTCTGCTCATCTGTCGGCAACTCATCCACAGGTGGCTTGAACTTCGCAAGATTTCCCAGTATCTGTCGATCTCAGAGGCAACAAATATGCACCACCGACTGACATTCCATGCACCAATCACCAATCTGAGTGTATATGTGCGGTCAAGGCACTGGAGTACAACCATGTTGGTTTCTTGGATTTCGCGCCAAAATCCTCCATGTTCACAGATACACGATGGCATTTCACCAGGCCGAAGAGCAACTGCATGGCCGGGTGATGTTCCATCAGCGATCTTTCTGGTTGTTCCAATATCCACCACACTCCCTTAGAGGAGCAGATCAGCAGGAGTGCAACAACCCGCCAAATCATGCGGTTTGCAGCTCTCACAGAGCTGACAGATTCGTCTCCAATCACATCACCCGGACGTCGTTGGGTTTTCGATTGGGACCTCAAATCATAAGAGAACCACAGCAGAGGTCAATATGCAAGCACACAGACAACGCACATCATATGTGTGTTCCACATCAGCAACTCAGTGTCTTACATGAATATCCATGATGAGCAAACTGGTGCGGTCAGCATTCCACTGCCCGGCACCAGCCTCAAGCACTCAAACACTGCAATGCAGAAGCCGAGGGAGCTGAGAATGTCCATCGTGCGTTCGTTGTAGCTCACATCGTGTGCAACCGCACGCCGCCCAGCCTGGGAGCAACTTGCAGGGAAGGGGCTTTTGGGAGGGTTGCCGGGGCAAGAATGCAAGCATTGAACTATTCTGCAAACAGGCGGCTCGAATCTCAGCTAGGGTAACAGCTTTGCGCCCAGCAAATGTCTCGAAGTGCTGCAAGGAAGTTTCCCAAGGCAGGTTCTCGATCCGTGTGACCATAGCCACCAGTTTGAAGATAACCTTGACACTCATAAAAGTTTGTGGCATCGCGGGAAGGGTATCACATGCTCATGATGCAACCAATATATGCCAGCCAAAGCTCCAGTGGCACACCGATCTGTGCCAAACCATACAGCACATACATTTGCTGCAAAAGTCGCCCGGTCTTCTGCGGGGGTCGCTGCACACGCAGCTTTCTTTTGTCTTTGCGACGACGCTGCTTCATTGCATGCTGCGACAACTTAGCACAGACTGCACATGTCATGGAACATGGTTTTCTTATATCTAGACGAAACATGTTAGCATACTTGTATATCATGTTTGTATGGGCTGGATGTGTGGCAGCATCTGTTCGGCATCCACATACCATTGCAATAGACACTATGAGCCTGCACACAAGTTCGATGACTCTCATGCAAGCAGACAGACACACTCGCAAACACAGTCGATGACTCTCATGCAAGCAGACAGACACACTCGCAAACACAGTTGCGTGCTAGCCCTGAACCCCTGCGTCGGTCCTTCCACATCATGATCGGCCCACATCGGAATATATCATCATGGGGGATGCCTGCGTGCGGGCAATGCTCATGTGCTGGGTGCAGGCAATGCTCATGTGCTGTTGCCCGTGATCACGACATACAGCAACTGATGGGACTTTATTTTTCAGCGTGGCTTCGCTCTGCTGAAAGTCAGCCACCCCTCGTGTTTTAAGCCACGCTCCGTTCGGCAGCATTGCCGAGGGCAAAATCAAAAGAACTGTGTGCAAAATTTGCGGCTCGCTGCATCTCCAACACAGCTTATAAAGCCCGAGTGCTCGCATTGCCGGATGGCATGATCTCTCTTTGCATTGCTGCTTGTTTCTATGGTACCATGAGTAGGAGGTGTGTATCGTGTGGATAGTAGTACAGTATTACAAGTTCAGTATAGCACAGCATTAGGGAACAGTACAGTATACATACAAACCTCTCCTTGCATTAGTACTATATTCTATGGTACGTACTATTAGTAGATAGTATAGTACAGTATTTCAGGTTCATTAGTATATAAAACAGTATATGCATACAATTAAGTCTCTCTTTGTATTAGGACTATATATTCCATGGCACCAATAGCAGGTGTTCTTGTAGATAGATAGTATAGTATTACAAGTTAAATATAGCGCTACAGTATATAGTATACAGTGTACATACAGGAATGTTTTTGTATTTAGTATAGTATATAAGAGTAAAAGTATAGGAGTATGAGCGTATGTCGTACTCCTAGCATACCGGCAACTGTCATCACTGATCACTCCATCCGACCCTTTTCTTCACTTCGGACCACGCGGCTTCGACACCGTGGAAAGTAGCCCACCCGACCTGTCCTCGGGGGCCCGGAGCACCCGTCGCAAGCCGCTTGCTGTAGAAAGCGCGGTTCCTCAGCAACACCTCCACGGCACACTCGTTTCCCGGCGAGGCCACCGTATACGAGTGTGCTCCTTTGTTTGCCTTGTCCCCCTGGGGCAGCGCGTCCTTCGGGATGCCAAGCGCCGTGAGGTCGTAGGAGCCGTGGCGACACGGCTCGGTTGCCGCCTCCTCCATCTCCTTGGCCTTCTTCGCGATCTTGGCCACCTTATTCCTCTTGCGCCTGCCGCCTTTGCGGTTGAAGCCGGCCTTCTTGACCTTCTTCGGCAAAGCCCTGCTCTTGGCCTGGCCTTTCTTTCTCGTCGGCTTCTTCTGCACCCCAACAGCCGTCAGGTCCTGGCACGCATACACACTTAAGGCTGCCCGATCCGGGCTTATACACGCGATAGCAAAGCCTCATCATCGCGGCCGTCGGCTCCGAGCATGGAGTCCAACTCCAAGTCCTCTTTCGCATCGCTGTGTTTGGGGACTTTAGGTTTGAATGCACAGAAGTTGCATTGCCAATAACGACCCCCCGAGGCAACTGCTTCATCTCCCAGGGGTGAGCTTCCATCCTTCAAAAGGCTGTCTTGCTTCCATCCTTCAAAAGGCTGTCTTGCTATTCTGCTAACTTGCTTAAATGGATCAGAAACTATCGGCCTCTTCGGCACTGGCTGCATAACCGGACGGGCTTCCGGCAGCAAAGATATCCTCAAGCAATTGGAGCATCCCATCCGGAGTATAACGTCAGTACGAGAGTGATACATTTGCCTCAACCGGTGGGTCATCCTTGGGATCATGGGCACGAGGTGGCTCATCTTTGGCATCATCCTCACACACAATAAAAATTCGTGAACTTTCAAAGTGCAGGTGCATGTGCAGCATACAGTCCTCGCTGGAGCTCCAAAACTTAGCCGCCAAGTCCACCTCATCGTCATCCTGCACCCACATCATCTGAACATGTATGTTCCATATTGACATATTGCATGCTTGCATGGCAGTCCAGCATGGTTTCTTTCACCCACTCATCCTGGCCCGGGCTGTCGAAGTCGCTGGGCAGATCCTAAACGGGACTGAGCAATAGATCTAGAAGCCTGACATTAATGAAACCTGTGCACGAAACTGAAATACATCTCACTGTCCTCACCGGGCGAGCCTATCGCTGGCAGCACCTGAACAATTTGTTCAATTGCTCTGATTGAAAACAACTCGCCTGCATCCCCGCCTTCTCTGAGCTGGACTCTCCAGGCCCTTGCACGTCGCTGTCGCTCGCATCACGATCCTACACCATAACATAGTGTCTCGGGAATGTAATCTGTCCACACAAACAGACTTGCTTAATGCGGTCGTTTACATCCTGGTCCCCAGTCTTCTTCGGTCCAATGTCGGATTCGCTTCGCTGATCCTGCCACAAACACCACATACTTTCACGAATCATTGCTGCACCTGAACACTGACCTGCATCCCCACAGTCCTCGGTCGAGTCATGCGTATCCTGGTCCCCAGTCTTCTTCGGTCCAATGTCGACTTCGCTTTGCTGATCCTGCCACAAACTCCACATACTGGGACGAATCACTGCTGCACACGGTAACGAACACTGACCTGCATCCCCACTGTCCTCGGACGAGTCATGCGCATCCTGGTCCCCAGTCTTCTTCGGCCCCATGTAGGCTTCGCTTTGCTGATCCTGCCACAAACACCACATACTTTCACGAATCACTGCTGCACACGGTAACGAACACTGACCTGCGTCTGACTGTCCTCGGACGAGTCATCCGCATCCTGGTCCTTCCTCTTCTTCGGCCCAATGTAGGCTTCGCTTTGCTGATCCTGCAACAAACACCACATACTTTCACGAATCGCTGCTGCACACGGTAACGAACACTGACCTGCATCTGACTGTCCTCGGACGAGTCATCCGCATCCTGCTCCTTCCTCTTCTTCGGCCCAATGTAGGCTTCGCTTTGCTCATCCTGCCACAAGACACAGCACTTGCACGAATCACTGCTGCACACGAAGACTGACCTGCATCTCACTGTCCTTGGACGAGTCATGCACATCCTGGCCCTTCCTCTTCTTCGGCCCAATGCCAGCCTTCAAAATCGCACCACTGTATAAATTTCATGAATGAAACCTGCATTCGGGAGTGCCGTCCTGTCGAGACGACCTGGCATCCTTGTTCCTCGTCTTCTTGGGCCGGATCTCATCCTACAAAACCCACTGCTTGCAGCTGCAAAAGGAAACCAACTTGCATGTCACGTCACTGTCCCCAGCCTCCCTCTCATCCTGGCTGCCCGGCGTAATCACGGCATCGCGGTTCTGCAGAATCACAGAGTTAAACCGAATTCATGTATGACCCGTATGGGAACTCCTTCAAAGCGGATCGGCGCTTCTTCGGCTCCACGTCGGCCTCGGTCTGCTCCTTTTGCCAAAGCACACAACTATAGGGACATACTGATAAGAAAAATCAGACTCAAACCGTCCTGCGAGGCTTCCTCACTGAGGATCTGCTCGGCCTTCTCGAGGTCGGTCGCTTCATCCTGGAGCAAACTCTTACAAATCAACTTTAACATGCACATGCTCATTTATCACAACGTCCTTCTCCGGTGATGTGTGCGGCTCCATGTCGCTGCCACTTCGGGTGTCCTTTACAGGAACATGCGCTGCGTGTTCCATTATCACGGGATATGCACAAGTACATGCTGCATCCTTGACATCGTCATCCTCATCATCACTGATTTCCATAGGCCATACTCCAAAGATTGGTGCATCTAGATCGACTTTTGCTTGGGGTCGACACAAGCAAGGCCCTCCATCATCCTGATGCGCTCATACAGTGCATACGTGTTTCATGCATGTTTCGAGACACAAGACAGCAAGCGCTGTCCTGTGGCAATCTCTTGCCACTGGCAATCATCTCCATATCCTCCTCATGCATGAACATACTTGAGCACACTCCAAAACAAACACAAAGCCTCGTCCTCGGAGCATGAGCCGGCAGAGCTCGGCGGCGACGGAACATCCGACGCTCCGGCAAAGGAGGCCGTCTTCTCCGGATCCTCCTTATACACGCTATCTGATATCTCCCACTGCATGCTCAGGAAAACTGATTGTGCAATCTAGCGGCGGGTGGCGAATCCGCTTGCGACTCCATCATTTCCATCGCTTGAGCCGCGTGCTGTTCAGCCAACAATCTCGCTTTCTCGTAGACCTCTGGCGGGAACATACCGGCCTGCAGCTCCTCGAGCTTGAGATCTAGAGGATCTTCAGCATCACTGAACTCCTCCATTACATAGTGCTGTTGTCTGCAAGTCTCACAAAACTCATGCATCCCGGCCTCCTCCGAGGTCAGTTCAGCCAGCAAAATCATTGAGTCCTTGTCCGAGAAGTCCTGGAAGGAGGGTTTAGGATTATATTATTGGGTTTGGGGGCTTTTGAAGAGTGAATGAAGTTTCCTATGGTGGGAAACGAAGAATCCTCTTCATCATCTTCGGAGCGATCTCCCAACTGCCTTGTAGAGGCTTGCGAAAGCCGGGGCTCTCCCTCAGATCGTGCATCCACGGAGCAGTCCGAACCACGGCGGAATTGCACTAACGAAGCCTCGATCCCATGCAGCCACAGCCACATCTGCAATCGGAGCGGCCTCCTCGTCGGCAATCGAGGCGAGGTACTCGGCATCGACCGCCTTGTCCCCTTCCGTCTTCGCCTCCGTCTTCGTAGGCGTAGGTGTCTTCTCCTCCAAGCGAAAAGCAGGGCAAACTAGAAAGCAATCTCCACGCCAAACCCTCTCAAAGGACAATACCCGCCTTCGGTCGAAGGTCGTGCTTCAAATCCGCGATTCTCGTGAAGCGACTGTTCTTACCTGGGATCCGGTGCTTTTGCTAATTGACATGCAAAAAACAACATGGAGCCTGCCTTCGTGAACCGATCTGCAATTGAGCCGCTCGATCGAAAAAGGTACCTCAAAGCTTGAAGGAGCTTCTTGATCTTCACGGCCTCGGCGGCCGCGTTGTTGATCACTGACTCAACCGGCTTGACAGGGAAGAGCTTCAGCTCGAGCAACTGGTTCAGCAGTAGCAAAGTGTCAGTGATCATAAAAGCGCTCGGCACTGTGGTGGGGAGTGCTTGAACCCAAGGCTTCAGGAGGAAGTAGTGCCGGGACACCTCAAGCGCACTCGGTCGTGCCACGTCTGACTCGAGTCGGACGATGGCGCCACCCCTCCAATTGGGGCCTTCTATCAAGTCTCTCACTGCCAACGGCAGGTGCTCCCGCATGGCCATGGCGATGCCCTGCACTTTCTCGTAGTTCCACTTCACTTTGCCAGAGCCTGCACGTCGCATGACTATAACTACCACGCATGAAGCCCAAAGATCGGTGCACAGAAGAGGTGGATGCTTGATATGTGCAAAGATCGACAATGCAGACTTTGTTTTTCCCTGAATCTGTTCCACAAATCATTGCAGCGAAGTCGCGGACCGAACGCCATTCAGGCTCTGGCTCCATCGCAGCCACAAGTGCCATGGCAGCACCGCGGCCACAGACCCTATCAAAGGGCCCTGGCCTTCGAGAAGTCTCAGTGGCAGTGCTGTGCTGTGCCTATGATTGCATGCCCATGCAGTGCAGCCATGAGCTAACGCCCATGGCCCGAGAGAGCTTTGTGAAGCTGACCCTGGAGTGAGCCTGCCTGACCCTGCATGAGCCTGCATGTCATGTCCGTCCTTCACTCAGCATCCCGTTCGGGCCGTGCTGTCTGCGGGTCTGCGGAATGTTGCAGCATGCGGCATGCATGCAGATCTTGACGCTTCGCTGAGCACTGTTGCAAAGTGCACGCAGCCTCTGCCACGGAGGCGATGATCAAGAGAAACTGCTCGATCTCGAGGCGGTCGCCTCGAAGGGTATACACAATAAGTTTGCTTGTCAATGCCGAATCTCTCACACACATGCAGACGATGCCCTGCCTGCCAGAAGTACGCAACAACAAAGTCGCAGGTGTGCATGCATGGCAGAACTCACATGCACACGGCACATGTGGGAAAGTCTTTATTTTCAGGATCTGGCAGGGCCCCGACTTCCAGCTCTTCTGCAATGTGCCCGGAAGCCCATGATATGTTTATATGCGGGCCATGCAAGCCATGCGTGCGAACTCCCTTGAGCTTCGATCGGCTTCGCAGGCGCTAGCGGCTAGCGAAACTCTGCCAAAGCCTTCATCTGGGATCAAGTTTGCATGCATGTTGCAACATAAAGAGTTTATACGAGTGTGCTGTATAGGGTGTTTTAGGGTATATATAGGGTCTTTTTTTCGATCGTCCTTGCTTTGAGCAAGTTTGAGCCAGAATATTAGGGTTTTAAGGAAAATACTGTCTTCTTTTCATACTTCGCAAGCACGTAACAAGATCGTTTCTCGGTCTAATGGATGTTAGAAGCATCTAACATCAGCGGACACAAAATACACCATAATGATGGCAAATGCTGCGGCGTTGCGCAAAGTACACTATCGGAGCCTCACGGCAACGCCCTGCAGCAAACGGCCCTCGACGCCGCACTGGCCCTGAGAGACGGCCGACTCGACGCAGCCGAGGCGCTGCTTGCGGCCCTGCAGGCCGCGGGCTACCAAACGAGCGGTGATCTGACCACGGCGCTGCTTGGGTACGTCACCCAGGGCACTTACGACGCCGGGCAAGCGCTGCAGGACAGCCGGCTGGACGCCGCCGATGCAGCGATCCTGGCTCTGCAGAATGCCGGGCCCTTCGCCACCAGCGGGGAACTGACGGCCCTGCAGGTCTCGCTGCAATCCGCCATCGACGGGCTCCTGGCCGAGATCGCCACCCTGGGCGGTGCCACCAATCTGGTCAACGCACCCGCCTGGCCCGCGAACATTACCTGGGACCTGCTGGCCGGAACAAACCAAATCCGCAACTTGCACGCCGTGGCTGCGACGCCTACTCCAAGGCGGAGGCGGATGCCCTCCTGCTCCCGAAAGCCAGCGAGTCCTGGGTGCTCGCCCAGCTCGGCAGCTACTACACGACCCTGGAGACCAACTCCGCGATCACGGCGGCTCTGGACCCTGCTCAAGCACGCTTTGCCCGTGCCCCGGGGCAGCGGCGAGCCCATGGCCCGTTTGACTCGGCGGCCGGAGCCCTTGGCCGTGCGCCAGCTCAGGGATTTCAACCGCCCACCCCCACCCCCACGACTGCTCACATAAAATGCAAGCCGCGTGCGAAGCAGTGATGCAATCTCCTTCCGAAGACAATGTGGTTCGCCTGCTGGAGCAGTGGTCGCCCGAGTGGAAGCATCGCGGCCGCCAGCGGGCTATCGGCTCGGGGTCGTATGAGCAGTATACGCACTCTGGGACTCTTCGCCTATGGAGGCAACGATCCCTCTCTCTCAAAGGCATCCGTCAACCGAGACGCCTGCGTGGCACTCAATCACTTTCTGCAAAATCGCTTTCCCGATGCGACTTGGACTTCCATCGCGGTGGTGCTGAACCCTCGCATTGGTCTGCATCGAGACATTCTGAACATGATTGGCAAGCCGAACCACGCTATCGCTCTCGGGTCCTTCACGGGGGGCAGGATCTGGATCGAAGACGATGATGGCCCGACTCCGGAACTAAGGCTTTTTCGTACTATTCGGGGGGTCAAAGATCAACCAGGGGATCCTGTTTCAGCGGAGCTTGAAAGGAGCATCGCCGCGCCGCCCACCAGAGACGAGCGCCGATTGAAAAAAAAAAAAAAACCTACGACACCCTAAGGCCTCAGCTATTATACTTGTTAATTTAATTTAATTTAAATTTATATGAATTTTAAATTTTAATATTTCTCCTGTTCCTGCTCTCGGGGTTGGGCAGGCTTCGGGGAGACGGGAAGAAAGAAAGAAGCGAGAGAGAAGGAGTGTGAGAGGAGAGAACCACGTTGTTGCACTTGGTGGCTTTCCGTGCTAAGGGCGTAGGCTGAGAGGTCCAAGGCAGAGGTCGTCTGCACTGCAAGTTGCGAGGCAGGCTGGGCAGAGCTTGCTCTCTGGGGCTAGTTGTCGCGACGCCTTAGGTAGTCAGTCTCAGTGTGCTTGCAAGGGACCGGGATTGCAGTACCAGCCGAGATTGCCGCAACCACTGCTGGCTTGTTGCACTTGCTGGCTTTCTGTGCTAAGGGCGTAGGCGGAGAGGTCCAAGGCAGAGGTCGTCTGCACTGCAAGTTGCGAGGCAGGCTGGGCAGAGCTTGCTCTCTGGGGCTAGTTGTCGCGACGCCTTAGGTAGTCAGTCTCAGTGTGCTTGCAAGGGACCGGGATTGCAGTACCAGCCGAGATTGCCGCAACCACTGCTGGCTTAAGGTGGGAGGTAACGGCCCCACAGTGAAGAACTTCAGGGTGTCTGTCGGCTATCAATGTCAAGCTCTATAGCTGCTAATAGCTGCATACTATCGCTGCCATGTAGAAATCATGACCTATCACAGATTACTCGCTGCCATGTAGAAATCATGACCTATCACAATAGACAACTAGCAGCGCAATAATGTCGTCGTCGTCGCTGGTCCCGTGCGACGCAGAGACCCAGTACCAACAGTGCTTTCAGTGGATCAAGGAAAGGCCACAAGAGTTTCGGTTACGTCTTGTGACAGAATTGACGGAGTGGGAGCAATCTTTGCCGCCAGACAACAGCCCGACACGCGGCATGCGCGGCGACCTCTTGGAGGGCACGATCATTGAGACAGAATGGGGTGATGTGACCGAGTACATGATGCCGCCGTCTGGGGTCTTCAGCTTCCGGGCCCCGGATGACACGATCACTCAGCATACAGGCGAAAAGTATTACCACAGGTATGTGCCGCACCTGCAACAGTGTTGGTACTTCGTGGCCTGCAATCATTGCAGGAGATGTGTCGTGACCTTTGCTGACAAAGGCGGCTCCTGGCCTAAGGCATTGAGGGAGATTGGTTGGTCAGGCGCTAAGTGGTACAAAGCCTATTGCCCTAAATGTACGGGAAAGTAGGCCGAGAGGTTCGGAGCCTCGCTCTTGTCTCGGCCGAACTCCTTATTTTAAAGATGAAACTAGGCCGAGGGGTTCAGAGCCTCGCTCTTTGCTTCGGCCGAAATCATCCTTCTTCTGGAAAGTAGGCCGACGAGAGATGGAATCGGAGCCCTGCTCCTTGTTTTGCGCCTAGTTTGGGCCAGAGTTCTCGAGAGTAGGCTGAGAGGTTCGGAGCCTCGCTCCTTGTCTCGGCCAAACTCCAAGCTAAGGACAAAAGTTGCGGCATGCAACAAGTGAGACTTGTTACCCTTTACTCCCAGCTGCAGTAAACATTATATTATTTTGCCTTCCAGAAGCGCATGCCGAAATCGTCCTTCTGATCTTCTGGAAAGTAGGCCGACGAGAGGATCGGAGCCTCGGTCCTCGTTTTTCGCTTGCTAGTTTGAGCCAGAAATCTCCAGAAGCGCATGCCGAAATCGTCCTTCTGATCTTCTGGAAAGTAGGCCGACGAGAGGATCGGAGCCTCGGTCCTCGTTTTTCGCTTGCTAGTTTGAGCCAGAAATCTCGAGAGTAGGCTGATATGATCGGCGGAGCTTCGCCTCACTCTGACTGTCTCGGCCGAAATCCAAGGACCAAAGTTGCTAAGTGTCGTGAAGCTTGTTACTCTTTGCTCCGAGCTGCAGTAGACAATTTAGTTTTGCATTCATCCGGAAGCGCTTGGCATGTCACTTGTGTTGGAAATCGGTAGCTTTGTGCGCTTACCTCCTGGCCTTGTTCAGGGACCCAGGCTGGCAGATAGACTGGGTCCAGGTTCCGCAGCCATGCGCGAGATTTACGACCGAAGTCCACAAACAACCCAGGCCAAAGCTCAAGGCAATTATAGCTTTAGACGACACGCACTCTGAGCCCGAATTCAACAAGCCAGCCATAAATCAGCAGTAAGTCCAGGCACTGATTGATTGCCGTTGAGGCGCGAGTTGAATTGATTTTTCGGTGCTTTCTTTTGGAGGGCTTGACATTGACCGACTCATCAGGCCATGGAACCCAGACGTGGTGGAGCCGTCGAGGCGGGTACTTCTGGGGTTCGGGGTCGGTTGACATTGATTGACTGCTCTGCCAGATTCTGACTGTCAGTCTGTGCTTGCAAGGGATTGCAGTACCAGCCGAGATTGCCGCAACCACTGCTGGCTAAAGTGGTGGGAGGTAACGGACCCACAGTGAAGATCTTGAGGCTACTAGCCCACTTTGAAGCTTTACCGAGAGGCGTTGTGTGAGGTAAGAGCCACAGTTGGAGCCAGGATGATTGACATTGAAGAAAGTTTGAATCTGAGATTCTGCCATTATTATTGTGAGATTCTATCAGTACTATATTAGGAT